GGGGCTGCTGCTGCTGCCCCAGCTCCATGAGCCCATCCATAGTTCCTGCAGCCTCCCCAGCCTGCCCACGGTGACCCCCCAGACAGAACTTAATCCCATTCTTTAGTCAGAAAACTTCTCTGCCAGGCTATTTTTAAGATGGAGTGGATCTTTTCATCATCTTCGCTCAAAGCAGTTTCTCCCTCGAGCGAAGCCCAAACCACCGTGCCGGCTACTCAGTTTGCTGTCCCCTTCAAGTAGGCCATCACGTTAATAGAGGTTGATTTGCAAACAGCGTCGTGTCCCCCCGTCTCTAGTGCCCCCCTTTGCCTGACTCCCGCTTTTCTGCTCAATGGCACAGATGCTGCTTTGTGCTGCTCAGGACCAAGCAGCTATTATCAGCAAATCCAGCGAGGGAAATTAATGAAGGCGACTACTAATAAAAGACAGCTCAGGACAGCCATCCCAACTTGCTCTGAGCAGTAATTAACTTTTTTTAAAACTCATGAAGGTAAATATGTCATCGGCTTTGGTCCAGTCTCTCGTCTTTTTAATCAAAGGAGGGGGAAGTGGGGGAAAGGGGATGGCTGCATGTCGCAGTCACCCTAGCACCATCCATATGCCCTCCCTGCGTGCTGCCAGCTTTGTTTTAAAGACAGTATTACTTCTCTTTAATCAGAAGCCTGAATTTAGTACAGGAAGTCAAGGGGAATGAGGAGGTGGCCGGAAGTTTGCTGGACCTGCACAGTTGAAGGAAACAGCTTGTCAGAGCAAAGGAGTCTGTCTTAGACCTTAAGATGCAAGATCTGGCCCTTTAGTAAGACAACAACCTGCACCAGGTTTAAAAGAATAAATTCCATCAGGATTTCTGTTCATGCAAGTGGGCTGCAGTGCTGTGATTAACTATATAAAAGATGGGTTCCTGAGATTTTTTGCCTGTATGGTATAGAAATAGAAATTACAGGACGGTGTGTACTATTCATGACCCCAAGTGATAAATTTCAAACCCCCCCATCACTGCAGAACCCCTGTTCACCCTACATGCAACCTGAAGATTCCCAAGATCACAAATTAATCATCTGATATTCACTTGGACACCTGCCTTATACCAAACCCTGGTCTGCAAGAGCAAACCCTGTACTGTTTATCTGATTACTTGAGGCTTCTTGACATCCCCAGTGAATGCTTCAAATGTCTTCCTCAGGCAGAGAGCAGTGCAAGGCTTTTAGTCCTTTCCCTAGGATTGTTCTTCCTTGGAACATTGCAAGGTGGTTGTGGATGTGAGAACAAACCAGAGTGTGGGCAACAGGCTCCTCAAGGCCAGAGGATCTCAGTGATGATGGGAACTGGGGTGGTGATGGCCTTTCCCCTAGCAGCTGCTCTGAAGTACATCTGAAACACCATAAAAATGAAAAGCTGGGGGTTTTGGAGAGATCAGCTTGTTTTTAATGGCATTAAATCAATTCAAGGAGAAAAGGCTGCGAAATTCCCATCTGAGGAGTATGAGTGTGAAATCTGAGGACCAGCAGATGAAATGACTGAAAGGTGGATTTCCCAAGGAGAAAGCAGTGAAATGCAGAAAACCAGTGGGGAAAGTGAAGCCTGAGGATGTGGGGAGGTGTGTGCAGCAGACCCTTCTCCTGCTTGAAATGGTGAAAGGAAAAACTTGCCTTCTCTGCAATGGAAATGAGGGAGTCAGGAGGAAGGTGAAGGACAGAGAGGGGACAGAGGCAGAGGCTGAAGCCCTCCAGCCAAGCGCCCATCCCGAGAGAGATGGCAGCAACACTAGGGTTGTGTGGGATCATCTGCAGAGAAACATGTTTTATACACAAAAAAATATATTTTGCAAGTATTGTGGGGTAGCCTCTCATTGTATTTCCAGAAGTTCCATGTATATTTTATTATGGAAATAAGAAAATATGTAACTTTCATATCCCAGATGATCAGTCTTTTCAATTAAAACAGTGTTATTGCAATAACTAATGGATGCAGTGTCAAAAAGACAGCTAGTGTGTGTACTTAATTATTTAGTGTCATACATGTTTCAATAGCAAACTTATCAGACAGCACCACAGGATGGCCTGTAGCAGGTGAAACCTCATCCAGTTGTTTCCCAACATTTTCACCATTAGGAAACCAAGGAACTGCTGTGACAATAAAATAGTCAAACCTGGGGAGCAGTGGACCCTGAACCTCAACCTGAGGCACCTGAACAGGGCTTTAGGAGATTGGGTTTTTCTTTGAGCTAGACCCCTCATGCTGGGGTCTTCAGATTTACGTAGGAAGCGACCTAAGTTGAATTTATCATCCTGCCACATCTTCTACCTTCACTCCTACTCTGGGTGTGCACCCGGTGGCTCAGCAGTGAGGCATCTAAGCTCTCTCTGCAGCTTAAAATCCACCAGCCAGATGAGGGCTGACTCAGGAATGCTGTTCCAAAATACAGTGTGCAAAAGGATCATAAACATGCATTATTTGGGCAAGGTGCTGCTTGGAAGCTGCTCCCAGGTTTTCCACTTCCTCCTAAGAGGTGATTTGCCATCCTGCATCCAGATTCGCTGCAATTTCATAGAATCCTAGAATCACATGTTGGTTTGGGTTGGAAGGGACCTTAAAGCTCATCCAGTTCCAGCCCCCTTCCATGGGCAGGGATACCTTCCACAGACCAGGCTGCTCCAAGCCCCATCCAGCCTCCTGATCTTCACCTCCAAAAATCAGTCTTCTGAGAGAAAAGAGGAAAACTGAAGGAAAACAAGGGGAAGAGGGAAATTAACTCTTTCAAATTCAGGAGGAAGAAAGAGGGAAATAAGCTCTTTTGGCTACATTTGAAAGAGAAATCAGGACGTGGATTAACGGGGAAGGTAACAAGTCCTGTCTCCGTATCTCCCTTTGCCAGCACTGCACTGCTGCCCCTTCCCAAACTTCTTCAAGGGCAACTCCAGCCAAGCCCATCCTGTGGACCAGGGTTTGGTTTGTGTGGTGGCACCCACCTCAAACTCCAGAAAACTCCTCTCGCACTCCCAATCCATTCTCCAACGCTATGTGTGCATTTTCCCGTAGCGGCTCCCACTGCCATAGCTCAGCCGGACAGCGGATGTAAGAGAGGCTGTACCTGGAATGGAAAGAAGTACCTCCAGGATGACAAACTTGGGAAGCAGCAGCATTCCTCCCCAAAGAGTGTTGGAGGGAGTATATGCTGAGCCACCTGAGATGTACCTGAAGCACATCCCACCCATCCCAACCTTTCGAAGAGCTGAAGGCACCTACTCCAGCATCTCTTAAAAGCAAGAGAGAAACTGGGGAAGGACAACGAGACCCAGCCAGAAGAGACAGAGAGGCTGAGTGAGCTGCCGGCTTTCTTTGGGGGGGGGCATTACTGGAGTTTAATCATTGAAAGGGGGTTGTGAAAAGTGATCAAGGGTGAAGCCTCCTCTCATGACAGGCTGCCCCACACACTGCTAATGGATTGAAAGGCTCCCTCTTGTTTTGTTCCTTCTGGCCCGTGGCAGATTTGGGGGGGACACAGCTTCATCGTGCTGCCCACATCAAAGCAGTGATTATGCAAATGCTCCCACTTTATTTTTTTTCTTCTTCTTCTTTTTTGGAAGGAATTATTTATTACACAATAACCCCCCTGCCGGGGGGGGAACAATAGCTCAGGCTCCATCGTGCTGCTCGCCCAAGGCTGTGGGGCTGAGGTGGGGGGAACCCCCACATGTTTTATTGGCCTAACCTAATTTCACTAATTCTCTTTTCACACATTTTGGGGTTGTTTTTTTATCACTTCTTGCCCTTTTGAGGCTGTCACTCCCAGCACTGGGTTTCACGCTCCCAGGATCGGGGGAAAGCACCAGGCTGCATCTTTTATTTAATTAATACATTCAGGCGCCTCCGCTGGGATTTAATGATTTCCAGGTGTTCAGACTCAGAAGTCACAGAGTGCTCCCAGGCACATGGGGGGGATGATTGAGGGGCATCGGTGGCCTCCAGCATCCCCTCATCCTCCTCCATGGTGACGTCCTTGGGCAGGTGCCGGTGGATCCATCCATCCATGCAACACACATTCACTGCGCAGAATCTTCTGTATCAAGAGGCAAAATTAAACCATAAGTAAACTTCCACTGAATTTATGTATTTATCTACTGTGCTTACTGCTGGTTTCCTTCACATTATGAGCCACACAAGGAACCTAAGAACCAAAATGCCATCATGAGAGGTGGAAGCCGAGTCCCTCATGTGTTTTAGCATCTAGAACCCATTTGAGGATTTGCTTGGCTACAGAAAAACAGGGAACTTTTCCTTGGTTTGGCTCCATGTCTCCCTAAGGACCTTTAGCCCTAAAGAATGGCCTCTTGGCCCCACACTGGGGCTGAACTGACTCCTACAAGAGCTTCCTACTCTGCAGAAAAAAAGGGGTTGCTTCTATGAAGTCAGAAATTTTAGGGCTTTTACACCCAGAACCAGGACAGGAATCAGCCCCCCAGGCCCGTCATTCCCAGTATGGAACCCCAAAACAAGCAGCAAGCCCAAAATATATGAAAATTAGAGCCTTTTATTTATATTTTATCACAAAAACAATCCCTTTGTTCTTCAGATGTAAATACATAGTGGAATAAACTCTGTAAATTATAAAAAAAAAATACATCTTTTCCATGATATCTTCCTTTATAATAAATAAACGGTGAACATGCATGCAGCTGATCACTGTAATGCCCCGTGTCTGTTGAGGTTTTCAATCTGTTTATTTTTCATCTCCTGAAAGAAGGGGGGAGTTCCTTGTCCCCTTAAAGGTCAAAATAAATAATGCATGAGGAGGTTCTCCCTACTCCTACTCCCCCACCCGGGGGGGGGGGGGGGGGGAAGGCTGTCTCTATTTAATTTTTGATAGAGTTTAGCCTAAATTTCCACGCTTGCATTCAGCCCTCACAAAGCCTACAAATTACACAATGACTTCTAACCCGGAGCCCTAACAAAAAACACTTTAGGGATGGGGGGGGTTTAACCCTCTTTCTTCCCCCCCCCCCCCGAGGAATCCTAAGGGACAGATGGTGGAAGGGGAAGAGCGGAATGAATGGGGGTGTGTGGAAAGCCGCGGTCACAGCCTTGGGAGCTGGACAAAGTGCACATCGGAGGGAGAAAATAGAAAGTTTGGTTTTGGCAGGTGACAGGTCCAGAGCCGTGGGAAACGGCGCAGATGCCGCCATCCCGATGGTGGGAACGGGGACCGGGAGCACCGGGCTAAAGGCAGCGGCGGGGCAGCGGCACCGTGGCGGGGGGGAAGCTTCCCGGTGGCCAGTGCTCCGCATCCGACACGGATCCTCCGGGGCTGGCGGGCGATAAAGTGCAAGCGCGGGGAGAGGCAGAGGGCGCAGGGCTGGCGGTGCCGGCGCTCCAGGAAGGGCTGCCCGCTCCCCCCACGGCCACCCCCGGGAGCACCGGCGGGACCCCCGCCAGCCGCAGGGTCTCGGTGAGCGCCCAGATGTAGTTGTGTGCGAAGCGGAGGGTCTCGATCTTGGTGAGCTTGGCGTCCTCCGGAAAGGTGGGCAGCACGTCGCGGAGGGCGTCCAGCGCAGCGTTCAGGTTGTGCATCCGGTTGCGCTCCCTGTTGTTGGCTTTCAGCCGACGGCTCCGCTTCAGCCTTTGCGCCGTTTCCGCCGTACCAGGGGTACCGCGGCTCCGGCCCGCCCGCCGCTTGCCCTCCGCCCGCCGCCGAGCACCGCGGCCGCCCGCCACTTCCTCCTCCACCACCAGCCGCGGCTCCTCCTCCTCTTCCTCCTCCTCTTCCTCCTCCTCGTCGGCGCTGGACGGCAGCGAAGGCGAAGAGGCGGGCGAGGCGAGGCCCACCAGTATCAGGTCGTCCTCGGCGGGCCCCGACAGCTCCTCTGCTTTCACCGGCATCTTGCGCGGCAGCACAGGCGGTACCGGAACCGCACGAGGCAAACTCCCCTTCACCTCACGGTGGAAAGCGCGACGGTATAACGGTGAGGTGAAGGGGAGGGGAGGGGGTGCCGGGAGAAAGAAGGGGGGCAACGGTGGCACGCGCCCTGGGGCCCTTCGGCTGCGTGTCTGGCACACGACCGCTCCTTAACACCCCTTATATATCCCGCGGGGAACAATCAAAGCTGCCCGCGGGGGCTCCCGTCCGTGTGTCCCGTCCTCCCCCCACTTCATCCCTCATCATCATCATCATCGTCCCCTCCTCCTCCCGCCCCCCACAACCGAACAGAAACCTCGCGCTCGGCTGGAGCGTGCCGCTAATTTATTAATGAATGGCGGCTGCGGGAAAGGAGGGGGGGGCGAAGGGGTAGGCGAGAGGCTCCGCCGCCGTCCAATCGGCGCGGCCCGCGCGTGCCGGCTCCCTCACGGCCGGGACTCCCTCATTGACCAAGGGGCGGTGCCATTTTAGAGAGGGAAGTAACGGGGTTCGGGGGATAGAGGTGCTTGATGGAGTGGACGGAAACACAAACGTTTGAGGGACACCCCCCCACACACATTTTGGGGGGATGGGGGGCTGTTGGTGAGGGTCTTGTGTCTTCTCCCCTCCGCTTGCAGCTGGTTTTGGCACGGAGCAGAGAAAAGCCTGAGGAGATCGGGGTGGGATGTATTGCCTCTGGAGAGCAGCAGGGGCCTGTGTGGGCTCGGTGCTGTCAGACGCAACCCTTGGGTACAAAACGGGCTGTAAAATTCTTAACCCCTCCACACAACCACTTTACAGTCTGTTGTGCCAAGAGGATGTTGGTTTGGCTTTTTATTCCTGGTGGGGGTGTGTGTGTGTGTAGGTTAGTAGCTCTTCTGAAGCTGCCATTTATTTCCTAAAATCTAACCTGGAGATACAGAGACGGTGTCAGATAATAGATGGGGTTTCTTTTCTATTAAAAGAAGAGCACCGTAACACACTTCTACACCGTTTTGTGATACCTGTCAGGCACGTGCTGTACAGTGAACTGTTTCTGGTATTAACCAGTGTAGGGTTCAAGCTGTGTTTGTTTTGTCAGACAGACACAGTCATCCTGTTAACTTTTGGGTAACACCAGCGCCTTATCTAACGAAAAATAATGGCTTAAAAAAAGTACTTGGAATAGTTTGCTTCTGTAAGAATCCAACAGGAGAGCTTCCCAATGCCATGCCTTCTCCTTCAGAGTACCCACTGGGGCAGAAAGCCAGTCCTGGCACCCAATGGACCCACATGGGTCAGGGCAAGTGAAAGGACAGGGTAGCGCGGCATCCTCCCCCCATGGAAGCGCCATCACTGAGGCAGTCTGGGGAGTCGGACTCTGAAATGGATTTTGATTTGCTGCCAGTGGTAAAAAAGCAGAAAACAGATGTCAGAGGTAAAGTCTCAGTGAGCGTGTGGATGAGGGCTGTGTGGAGACATCCTGCTCTGAGATCAGGTACCACCTGCTCTCTGTGATTTACCTGAGCTGTTAGAAAATCTCTAATTTTATAGAATCTAAAGGCTCTACCAAGAGATTTTAACCTTCCCCTCCTACTGAAAAATGGAAACCTGTAGGTCCCCTTGGCATCGCAAGGGAGTGACACAAAGGGACCTTCTTCCTTTTTCAGCACCTTAAAGTGTGTCGCAGTATTGCCTGTAACCAGGCCAGTCCATCCTGCTGCTCACACCCCGTTGATGGGATTTATGTCCTTCTGTCGATGCTGAGAGCATCAAGGCATCTTTTGCAGTTCACCCCAGTTCCCTGATGAAGAGATTTTCTCCACAGGGCTGAGCAGAAATTGACTGAGGATGAGTCAGGGTCCAAGGGACGCTTGTGTGGTCTGTGGCCAGCCCTGGCTGAGCTGCTCAGCCACGAGGTGCTCTGCTGAGAGCAGTGGGGGGAGAGGGAGTGCTGCCCACTGCCTGAACTGTCTTCCAAGGGTCAAACTGTTCAACTTCAGCCCCTTTGCCAGACTCGGTCCTACTTTACGGGAACAAAGGCACAAAATAGGCGACGATCAAGAAATGGGAGCACAATGATTTAAGCTTATCACACAGCCCAGAAATAAAGGACTCTGAGCTTGTGTGCGGGAGGCAGTGGGGGAAACCTTCAGAGAGGCTTTGTTTGCTGTAAGAAGATTGAACTCTTGAGGTGACCCAGCAGCCCTAAAAGTTTAGGGTCTGTGTTGCTGAGAGACCTTTGGATACAGTCTGTCCACACTCCGACCTCACAAGTCGTGAACCAGCATTAATGGCTTGCCTGGCCTCAGCCCTCCCAGCTCTGTGTCCCGAGCCCCCCAGGAGTCTCCTGAGGGTTTGGGTGACCAGGGCACCCCAATCCTTGTGGATAGCACCCACAACCTGGCGAGTGTGATGGTTCTGCTTTTAAACTGGGGGGAAAAATGTGTGTCTCCCCCAGCAGGATATTGGGGTGCAGAGGGAGAAATTGGAGGCTGCTGCGGTGCCATGGTCCCCCCAGCGAGCTCCATCCTGACACCACTCAGGGAATGTTGCAGCCAAAAGTGCTTCCTGGAGGGATGAGGAGCAGCCCCCCATTCCCAACCTGCAATAGCAAGTTCAGCATTTGTTTTGGAACTGAAGCAAGGAGAATCCATCCCTAACCCCCCACCTCCACCCAGCCGAGCCCCTCGTCAGGGGCTGATTGTTCCCAATGGATTTGCATGGCAGGTGCAGGCCTGCAGAGCGATTTTGCCACCCTGGGCCCCGCCAACAAGGGCTTGCCTCCCCCCCCTTGTGAAAAAAGGCCGCTGGTCCTTCCTTTCCCATGGAGAAGAAGCTTGAGGATGGTGTGAGCACGCTTCAGTTTTCTTATTCTTTTCTATAGATGTGGGGAAAAGAACAGCCAATTGTGTGAAAACCCCAGTGCCTGCAAAAAGGGACATTGGCTGTCCAGGCGAAGGTGCGCAGGGGAGAGCACTAATCGCTGAACCAGGAGACAAATACGATTACCAGCTCCGAGCCTTGAGTCAGAAAGTCTCATAGACTTTAAGATGTTAATCCCCAACATAATCCTTCCTTTGGCATGTAGGAATAGTGCAGCCACAAGAGTTGTTTTGTTATTTATATTGGCGTTTAATAAAACTCAGCCAGCAGTGAATAGGCTGCCCACTCTCCAATGGTAATTAATTCCCTATTTCAGTGACCCAATTGTGCTGGGATAGAGAAGTGGGACAGTCCCACTGCCCCAACCCGCCTTTGTGCAGCTACATGGCTCTCGTGCTTCAACAGCTATGGAAACTCATTCTTTTGATGTCATTCAATGAGTTTTCCTTGGGCATCTTCTAAACTTCAAGGACCCTTTTCTTTTTTGGATGCCTGAAAAGCAGGACTAGCTTGACCACCTCTGTAGTATTTAATGATTTCATGAAAGGGCTTTTTTTTATTATTATTATTTTTTGAGGGCTGGGGAGGAAGGGGGTTGTATGAGGAAGGAGAGAAAGAAAATTTGGCAGGCTGCTAGCAAGCAGGGTCTATCTAAACTGGAGTGCACCAAACTCATTCGGCTCCTCCTTTATATGAATCTTAAAAGCTGCTCTTCCTTACTCAGAATACTAGAGGGATTCACTTAGTCAAGTCATTTCTAGGAGGGATCTGCTGGGAGGTGGATTCTCTTGTTTTGCAGACAAATGCAAACTGAGGCCGCAGTGAAACAAATCACATTTTAAGAAGGTGTTTCCATCCATCAAAGAGAAAAATAACCAAAGGGAGAGTAAGATCCCTGGGACTGGGGTTGTTATTGTGGCTGAGGTTTCAATCTCATGGCTCTTAGAGCAGTGAAGTGGCTGCAGAAGGAATGTTTGAAACCAACACATGAGGAACATCTCGTAGACCCGCAAAGCCGCCCCAGTACAGGGCAACCTCTTCTATGTCTTTATACACACACGCTTCTCCCCCAGCCCCCCAAAATAAGGAGGAAAGAAAAAAAAAGAACCCCTTCGCAAGTCACAAACAGTTCAGGCTTCAACTAAAAAAACACAGAGTGAACCATATGGCTGGGGTGACTCAAGTTGGCTGCATTTTCCCCCAGACAAAGAGGGAATTGAGAGTTGAAGGAAAGGAGAAAAAAAACCAACTTTCCGGCTGATGAAGCTGTTGTCTGGAGGCAATGATCCCAAATCTCACGGCTTTATTCCAGGCTCCGACTGAGACGTGATATGTCATGTGATTAGCATCTTTCATATTTACAAGAGTGGTCCAGGCTGCTGGTCTTTAGAGAAAGTCGAGAGAAAGAAGGGGCATATGCTGAAATGGATTTAGCATTTGAAAGAGAGAAAAGGGAGTGAATAAATACACTTAAACGAGGATTTAGTTTTACTCCTGTCGAGTTCTAATGGCTTGTTGATTGAGATTTTAGGGAGCTGGGACAGAGGTGTCAGCCAGAATTTAAAGGTGCTATTCAACCCGCCGCTGCTCCTTCTTTTGCCCTTCTCCACACTCGGGATCCCGGCATTCCCTGGATCCAGGAGCGGTGCTAGTGATGAAGGACGGGGTCTATCTGGGCTCCCTGACACGGTCCCGAGGCTCTGCCGAGTCTATTTCGGCTCCCGAGTCTATCAACCGGCCTCACCGGCGGGCAGCGCCACCTCGTGGCGGCGGGAAGAACCATCCGGACCCGGCCTCGTTAGGATGAAGGCTCTGAATGGGGTCTTCACCAATTTCTAAATGTGCAAGGTGACAGAATTGTTCTAAGATACAATGTTACGTGTATATAACTACTCTGAAGCGTAGTGAAACACTAACAACACATTAGGTACCTTGTAAGCATACAAGGATTTCAGTTATCAAGCAAATGAGTCACTTTATTAATTTTTAGACATAGAAAGGCGGTCAAACTAGAAGTATCAGACCGCTGAGAACCAAACAAAAGTTTCCCCCATTAAATATAAATATTAGGTTTGCAATCGTTCTGATCATTTTTTATAGAAACACAGTTCATCTTTTCTTCATCAAACAGGTGCACCTTTTATTTTTCCTTCTTACTCTGCTTGTCTTCCTTCTGATTCTCCCAGTAAGACTTAAGAATGTCATTTAGCCACTGCTCACACTGGCTTACATGCTGCAATCCATTTTCCCATTCTAAAAGCAGGGATAAACAGGATAATTACGTCTTACTTTGCAGCATCCGTCATCTAAGCCAGCCTGTGGTGATGCAAACATCTACTTTCCCCACACCTATCACATTGCTGTAACATTTCTACTTTGAAAACTGTTCAGAGT